GCCCCCGCGTCAAACCGCCCCCCTCCAGCTCCGCCCCTGGCCCCACCCCTCGCCCACCCCTGCCCCGCTCCGCCTCGGCCCTGCCCACGTGCCTCTCGCTGACCAATCATCCCCAAGGATGCGAGTCACGTGGAGCAAAGAGCGCGTGAACGCAGGGGCGGTAAACTGCGCTGACACGTGACGTTAGTAGTGCATCTTCCTATCTCCTGTGAGCCCGCGCCTGGGGGTGCTCCAGCGCCGCCTGCCGTCTGGAGGCTCTTCTCCGCTTCCCACGCGTTGCTATGCATTTTTCAGGTTTCTAGGAGTCTGGAGGACCACCCACATGCTTTCTATGGTCTTGTTTTCCACTTTACTTTGTACTTTCTACTTATATCTGCACATAACTATTTATTATCTTCCTTCTCTTTCCCTACTGAAATCCTCATTAAGAAAAAGGCATCATTGCGGGTCAGCCTGTGGCTCACTCGGGAGAGTGTGGTGCTGGTAATACCAAGGCCCCGGTTCGGATCCCTATATAGGGATGGCGAGTTAGCTCACTGGGTGAGCGAGATGCTGACAATACCAAGTCAAGGATTAAGATCCCCTTACTAGTCATCTTTAAAAAAAGAAAAGAAAAAGGCATCATTGGATTCTCCGATACCTAGCACTTATGTAAAAATAATTGTACAAGTGGAGTTTAGTATGGGCTAGACACTCTTCTAAGTGCTTTGTGTTTATTAACGAATTTAGTACACCAGTCTTTGATATAGGTGTTGTTATTCTTGTTATACACATGCGGAAAGTGTGATACAGAGAGATTAGTTTGTGCACAATGTCCAAGGTCAGGTGGTAAGTGCCTTGTCTGTATTCGAATTCAGGCAGCTTGTTACTAGTGTAGATGTTCTGGACCTGAAGATGAAGTATCAGAGAGATTGGACAAGGGTCATAAAGAATAATTACGATTTGTAACAATATATATGCTAGTAATATTGATTTGATCAACATATATCAATGTTGAATCCAAAAAATATGTATAATCAATTTTGATTCAATAAAATAAATTTTTAAAAAATCGTTGCTATTAAAAGTGAAAGATTTGAAAAAAAAAATGAAATATCAATTGGGGAAGTGAAAAGTCCAGTAAAGTGTAGGGGTGATAGGAGCTTAATGAAGCTTTAGGTGTAGGATAGGTGCAGATCTTGCACCTTGAAAACAGATTAAGATTTACCTTTTAAAGGCAGTGGGGAGCTGTATAAAGATTTAAAAAGAAGAGACATAGATTTGTGTTTTAGAAAGTTCATTCTGGCTACAGAAGAGAACAGTTGCTGTTGGAAGAATCTTGGTAGTTTGGACTAGGGTAGTGACTTGAAGATGAAGAGAGACCATTCTGAGAGATAATTAGGAAGTAGGGAGACTCAACAGGACCTGGTGAGGGATTGCAGAATGAGGGAGACAGAAGTGTTAGGGATGGTTTCTGGGTTTCTGTCCTAGGCGGCCACTTGGCAGGAGTGATATTCATTGAGATAGGAGATGCTGGAGGAGGAGCAAGGTTTTGGGAAGAGAAGACAAAGAGTTTATATTTTGGAGACATTGCATTTGAAATATCTGGAAGATATTTCAAGTAATTATGTTGAGTAATGTCTGGACATCTGGTCTGGTTATCCAGACTCTGGTTTGAGCTGTAGAATGGGAGTTGCTGGCATAAAAAAAAGGTAATTGAGGGGCCGGCCTGTGGCTCACTCGGTAGAGTACGGTGCTGATAACACCAAGGCCACGGGTTCGGATCCCATATAGGGATGGCCGGTTCGCTCACTGGCTGAGCGTGGTGCTGACAACACCAAGTCGAGGGTTAAGATCCCCTTACCGGTCATCTTTAAAAAAAAAAAAAAAATGGTAATTGAAGCTATAGAGGTGAATGAAATCGTCTTAGGGAAAAGGAAGAGATTGAGAAGAGGATCCAGAGCTGAGCCCTGAGGGTAGAGAAGCAATAGCCAAGGAGATGGGAGGAAAAGCAAAGGAGTATGATGGGAGGAAAAGCAAAAGAGTATAATATTACAAAAGCTTTGGGAAAGGAATGTTTCAAGGAGCAGTCAGTGTCAGTTGCTGCCAAGAAGTCAGGCAACATACGAACTTACAAGAGCCCACTAAATTTTGTGGCCATGGAGACCCTTGGTGACTTTAGTGAGTGCAAGTTCAGAGAAGCAGAAGGGGCAGTGACAGGTAAGAGAATGGAGACTGCCAGTGAGGACCAGGTCCTCAAGGAGAGGATTTGGTTACCATTTATTGAACATCTCTGTGTGCACAGTATGGAGTCCTGTATTGGGAAAAGTCCATGTTCTTAAGGGATTGTGGCCTAACCAGGGATATAAATCCTAGTCTCATGAAGTGAAAAAAATGCAAACCATTTTTTGTTTCACTTTTTAAGTTGTAGTTGATATCTTTCAAGTGATTTAATGAAGCCAGGTGTCTTAGTCCATTTGGGCTGCTATAACAAAATACCTTAGACTGGGGAATTTATAAACAACAGAAATTTATTGCTCACAGTTCTGTAGGCTGGGAAGTTCAAGATTAAGGCACCAGCATATTTGGTGTCTGGTGGGAGCCTGTTCTCCATAGATGGTACCTTCTATGTGGCCTCACATGGTGGAAGAGAAAAGGGGCAAACAAGCTCCCTCAGGCCTCTTTTATAAGGGCACTAATCCTATTCATGAAAACTCTGCCGTCATAACTTAGTCACGTCCCAGAGCCCCACCTGTTAATGCCAACACGTTGGAGATTAGATTTCAACATATGAATTTTGGAGGAACACAAACATTTGGATCATAATACCAAGTATCTGAGAATCATTCTCGATTCTTTTCCCACACCTATTCCTACCTCATCTCTTATTCCAACCAGTCCTTGGATGTTATGTATCCACTCCTAACTCTCTCCCCACTCTGTCTTCATTGCTACTGCTTTGTTCAAGCCCTTTTGGTATCCTGTGTAGTCCAGTCCAAGTATCTCAGAATTGGTCTCCTGATTTGTCTGAATATGTCCAATTCATGGTGCTGTCAGTGATCTTTCAAAAATGCAAATCTCTTGGGGCAGGCCCGTGGCTCACTCGGGAGAGAGTGGTGCTGATAACACCAAGGCCACGGGTTCTGATCCCTTGTAGGGATGGCCAGTTAGCTCACTGGGTGAGCATGGGGCTGACAACACCAAGTCAAGGGTTAAGATCCCCTTACCAGTCATCTTTAAAAAATAAAAAATGCAAGTCTCACCAGTTTCTCTATCACTGAACAAATAGAGTGTTTCTGTGCATCAGATACTGGAACTGTAATCATCAAAAAGACAAATAGTCCCACCTTCATGGAACTTATATTGGGAAGCATTCATAAGTAATTATGCATCTTATTTCCTTTAAAATCCTTCAGTGGCTTCCCATTGCCTTTCTGTTGCTAGTTTAAAAAGCTCTTTGTCATCTGGGCCAACCATTTGTCTCGCTTTATTTCCCTGAATTCCTTCTGCTCCAGTAACACCAGCTTCTTCTCTTGACTTCTGGAAAGTTCATAGGGGAAAAGTCCTTTATGCCACCACTATACCTTGCATATAGCTATTTTAAAGCACCAATTATACCATAATGGAATTATTACTCTATATGCTACTAAACTGTTAGCTTATGAAGGTCAGTGGAGTCTTCCTCTTTATACCGAAGGTTGGTACAGAGCAGCAAATAAATTCTTGGATTCTTTTTGATTGATTGGAACAAAAACATATCACAATAATTCAGTTCCCAGGGGAAGGAGGTTTTACTGAGTTTATCAAGAAAGAGTTCCTGGAGACAGAATAGATCACATAGACGTACTTCCTGTAGACTTCCTAGGTCACAATGGACAACTCAACTTTTCTCCAATCTACTTCATTGAAGTTTTATGTTAACAAGTGAGATTGCACAAAGATATTTCTACCTTCTTTAACACTGTAACTTTTCAGTTCAAACTGGCATTGATTTTGTTACCTGAAACCAAATAGTTTAACAGAATTTTAAATGTTTGGCATTTAAAAACTTATAATGTATATTGATTTAAGTGTCCTGAGTTCTGACAAGAAACAGTCATAACTAGGGAGTATCATTTCATTGTAATCTTACTTCTCCTACATTCAATCTCACCTAAAACAGATTAATAAAATTTTGTTTCCAACAAGAGGTAGTTGAACTTGGCAATATATTTTTTAAAATTGATAACGGAATCAAGAGAATCTGATTCAGATATATAGAGCTTGGCATTAGCGATTTATGCTTCATAAGAAATGTACACAACAGCATTGTATTAAAATGCTCCATACATCCCTCAAGGACCAAAGATTTAGGGCTTTTAGTGCTGGCAATAAAGTATATATGCTCAAAACTAATGAAAGATAACAAAAGAAATACAACCTAATGTTACTGATGAGTGCTATTTATCTTTTTGTGCTTTCCAAAAGTATAATGCTCCTAACATTTGATTAGTTATTTTTCAAGTATTATTCATCAATCCACTTTTATCTATTGAAAGCAAAGGAATATTTTTTAGAGATATCTTATGTGTTTCTCTGGTGGTATTTTTAGAACGCTCCTGGTAATTAGTACCTCCGAAGGTTATACTTTTTTAAAAACAGTTTTTATAGCTTTACTGAGGAATAACTGTTATACTATATCTGTACATGGTTAAAGTATACAATTTGAACCACGTATGGGCACGACACTGAGGGTTGCGATCCGTTGCTGGTCACGAAAAAAGACAAAAAGGGAAAAAAAATAAAAATAAAAAAATAATTTAAGCTAAGTGTGCTTGTTACTTGAAAGATTACTTCAGTATAAAAAGAACCACACTTCAAATTAAATAAACATGTTTTTATTTCTCTCATAACTTTTAAAATGTGAACTTTCTGTAATTCACAGTCTTTATTTCCAGGTGACTTCTTCATCGGGTCTCAATTCTCTGTGTGGAGAGAAAAAAGGAAATAAAGGAAGAAGTGTAAATAAAACTTTATGAAGGGATAAAAGGGAAAGTCAGAAGAATATGGATTCACTATTTTATATTGTATAAATTGACCCATTCAATAATTTTTACATTAGACTCATTCATTCTATTCTCCCATGATTTTAAACTTTTACCATATCTTCATTTTTCCAGATTAAAAGCTGTTTATCTTTATATAATTTATTATCTCTCAATGACTTCATTTAATGTTTCCTATATCCTTTCCGGCTCATTTTTTTTTTTTCCTTTTTGTCTTTTTTCATGACCGGCAACGGATCGCAACCCTCAGTGTCGCGCCCGTACCGGACCGGGACCGGCAACGGGATCGCAACCCTCGGTGTTGCACCCTCACCTCGCTCAGCCAGTGAGCAGCCGGTCTGTATGTGGGATCCGAACCCTCAGCTGGAGCGCCGCCGCACTCCCAAGCGGCGCACTGTAGCAGTGCGCCACCAGGCTGGCCCTTTCCAGCTCATTTTATCTTTCTTGAAATCCCTGACTTGTGAACCACCTCTACATACTAACTGTGGATGCTGCTCAATTCTCTTGGCCCTTGAGCTTCCTCCAACCCAGCGATATACCTGCTGGCACATATCCTGTGTCTTGCTAACTGGAACTTTCTGCTGCCAAAGCAGCCATCTCTAGAGACACCATGGTACCAGGCAACTGCCAATTGCTATCACTCAAACACTAAAGCTCTCACGTAGAGTTGCCGAGAACACAGCACTAAGCCACTATTACTATTTATTTCAGTTACATCATGGCATAAATAAGATAGTATACTATATCATATGTAAAAGCTGTATAAAGAGTAGGCTTTGGTCAGCTGGTTAAAACTCTGTTTCCATATTAAAATGTACTTGGAATTTTAAAAAATGAGACTTTCAAAGATCTAAAATGGCCTGTTTATAAACTGAAGACTGTTTACATTACAGAGGTAACTGTACAGTTTTATCTAAGGATTAAATAACAAACAAGACTAAAAAACAGTATTACTTGAATCTAAGTCTTCAGGGGGAAAAATTACTCCTTCTGTTTATCTTTGGAACATAGGATTTTAAAGAAGAATATTCCCCAAACATAGCCAATTGCTGGTTTTAAAAATGCACAAACTAACCTTTTATATAACATGCTCTTGTTCCGGAAAGCAGTTAGCTTTTCATCATTCTTTTTGTCTAGATAACATCCTAAGACAAATCCCATAGGGACAAGGACATGAACCCAGTGGTCGCGAACAATCTGAAGTAATTTCACCATGATTCTAAAAAAAAAAAAAAATTACCAGAAATATAACTGCCTTTGAAATATTTTTTAAATTGCATCTGGAACAGGAAAATAGCTGTGACTGTAAGAGATAGATATTAAAAGTATAGTGAGTATAGTGAGCCTCTTTAAATTTGCTTGGTATCATAATGTAGTATAGTACTTAAAATCAACTTGATGAAGATTACCTTTTTTTTTTTTTTGGGGGGGGGCAGTACAGGGAAAGAACCCTAGACCTTGTTATGAGCACTGTGCTCTAACCAACTACTTGATGATTATATAGACGACATGATTAGTATAAAAATTACACTGCATAAAAGTCTATTTGTTAAGTTTTATTTCTAGCTTTACCAATATTTTGATATGAAATAGAGCAGAGAAATGGAGAGAATACTGTATAAAAAATTCTACCTGCAAAAGGTACCTTCCTTTTGCAGAACTTTTACATGTGTAAAATATTTTCAGAACCTCTCAAATTGCAAGAACTAATTTAATAATACTATTTTGCCAGAAGTGGATTATTTAGGCAAAGCTATTATGACTTTAAAAATTTATTTAAAGCTCTAATTATTGAAAACTAATTTGAGAGGAAATTTTAAAATACAAGAGAAATTTTAAAAACAACCATATTGAATAATGTCCTAGAAGATCTGAATATCAATTAAATGACTCTATAAAAGATAAAGGGAGAAGGAAACTTACTTTTATAGAATTACTACTAGGCACCAGGGCCATCTTATATTTCTATATATGTATAATGTGGAATAACTATTATCATCCTCATTTTACACATAAGAATTCAAGTTCGGATTCACTCTAAAGCTCTGGCTCCTTGTATTATATCACACTGCCTCTCCAGGAGACCCCTTCCTGAATTGATATTTATGGTACTTCAGAGCCTTTAAGTTCTAAGAGTTTCCAAAAGGCAGAGGAGGAGGAGGTGAAGGAGGAATAGAGATATTAGTCACCATGTGAAATATAACAAATTTGCATTATTTCAATAAAAATATAGTTGAATTGCCAATTTTCTGTAAAAATTTGTACATACAGATAAAATCAAAATACACCCGTGTGCACATGAATTTAAATGAATAAATCACATACATGGCTGAGAAGGCATATGACAACACCCTAAAAAAGAGAAGCAACACTTCACTGCTAACAAAAGTGCTTGGCAGTAAGCTGTGCTAGGATTATGTAGACTGAATTCCTGCCTCTCCTTCTGACACTGGTTCGCATACTTATACAATTCTCTTTATTTCTCATACTTTAATCAAGCACTCATATCCAAAGTCACTGGGTTAAACAACCTAAATGTCCACTGACAGACGACTGGATAAGGAAAATGTGGTATATATACACAATGGAATACTACTCAGTCATAAGAAAAGGAAACTCTACCATTTGCAGCAACATGGATGAATTTAGAGAAAATTATGTTAAGCAAAATAATCCAGACACAGAAAGAGAAATACTACATGTCCTCACTCATAAGTGGGTGCTAAAAAAGGAAAGAAAGAAAAGCTCACAATAATATGTTGGTCTTTCAGGAGATAACAAATCTGTAGTTACTAGAGATGAGGTGGGGGAGAGGGATAAGGGGGCTAAGTAAGGGGCATAAAGAATATTACAATTTGTAATAATCAATATGCTAATACTATTTAGTTGATCAACACATTGTAAAGCTAGGTGACTATGCCAATTGTTGGGTTACAGCAATAGCTATGCTAAAGCCAAAACATTTCATTATTTTAGTTAATACTAAGTTTCCATTTGTATTGTCAGGGCTAGGGCTCAGACCCTTCAAACCCATTGTACAGACTGGGTCACCAGACCCCTCACACGCAGGTCCATACGAGGTAACTAGGAAAGTCCCAGGAGCTGTTGGCAGATGACATGAGCTCAGCAATGGCAGCAGCAGCTTACAGCGGCGGCAGCCTTTCAGAGGGTCCCGAGGGCACTGACAGCAACAGCCTCTGGCATCAGTAGTAGTGGTGGTGGTGGCCTCCCAGGGGCACACAAGGGAGGGCAGAGCCCTGTGGATCAGAGCCACTCATCCTTTATACTTAAGTCCATAACGCAGGATACCGGGTGCCCATGCACTTCTATATCAGACAATAACCTAGGAACACTTGGGTGCACGTGCATGTTTACATCAAATGCTTGGCAAGATTCTGAACATCTGAGGGGCCCTGACCATTTTTCCTTCATTTTCCCTACACACATGTTGTAGACAGGTGATGGTAGTCAACACTATACCCCCAAAATATGTATAATCAAGTCAATTATGCTTCAATAAAAACAAAAACAAAACAAAGTCACTGGGTTAAAAAATGGCTATGAAGTTAAAAGTTGCACAATTACCATATACTGTATTTCATAAAGTGTAATACTACACCAAGCAGGTTCTGGTCTGAATATCACTGATCTAGAAAATTATGTGAGTAAATGATGAGATATTTAAATAGATAATTTACAACTCAGTCATCAGTTAGTTTTAAGTCTACTAAGTTTACTGTCTACAGCTGGAGTTCTCAAACTTTACTGCACATTAAAATCATCTGGGGAGCCTTTTTCAAATTAGGGACTTCTTTGTCTTACTTCCAGGGTGAGGCTGGAAAGATCTGTAGCTGATTTTGATGCAAAATGTTCTTGGATGTATAAATCTAAGTGTAAACAATCTTTATTTCCTAGAAGATAGTGGTTCTCTTAGCGTTTTACCTTCATTAAGTAACATTACTTGCATTTAGATCTTTAAGTACTTTCTGTGATACTGACCAAGTGCCTACAAAGTTAGCGCCTGATTCTGTTATAAACTTGTACCAGTTAGGTATGGAGATAACAATGAGTGCTTTAAATAAGATAATGTAACTTTGAAAGCACTAAATTGCACAATGTGAGACAATAAAGGTCTGTGTTCATGTGACCTTCTGTGTGCAAGTTCAGTGAACTCGGTGGTCATCTACTCTGCCAGCTCTCCTTCTTAGAATCCTAGAATTTCTTGAGATGTCAATTCTACCCTTAGCACAGTTGACTGTTAGACATCATTTTGTATTTAACCACCACCAAGAAAGTACTTGCTGATTCCCAGCTCAAGATGGTTTTAAATAAGCCCATGGACACCTGAGGGCTATGATCCATTACTGTTGGCATTCTTCCATCAGAGCCAGAAGCTAAGGAATTGGTTTTGTCTGGTTCTACTCAGCAGAAGAGATGAAACTTGGCATTCTTCCATCAGAGCCAGAAGCTAAGGAATTGGTTTTGTCTGGTTCTACTCAGCAGCAGCAGAAGAGATGAAATAAGCCCCTGTGGCTCTTGCTGCACATAGGCTCTTACAGCAACTCCAGAAATAAAGACAGTGGGACTGATAAATAAAAGGATTTTGAGCAATCAGAATCCAGAGTTGGACTCAAACACCATGAAGAAACCATGATTCCACCCCTGCGAGGTAAATGATAAATTTGAGTCCCAGAGACTTTCCATATTACAATTTTACAACCTATATTTAATGGACTTTGGAAGCAGTGCACGGAAAATAATTTGTATGTTTTAGTGTGAGTGGATGACTAGGGAGGACAAAGACTTATGGGCATAAGTGAGCTACAATGATTCCCTGGAGAATGGATAGGAGGGGGAGGGTAGATGGACTCTTGGCCATGGACCCAAGACCCTAAGAAAGATTTATCTGAGAGGCAAAGGGCAGTGAGGCTCGGGGCCACGCTCCACTGAGGCAAGCCTAGGTTTTGGGTAAAAGAATATTAGGAGGAGAAAAGGACCAACTGCTTTATTTAGGGAGTGACATCCACAAGGGTGTCCATGAGAGTGCTGTACATATTATTAGTGTCTTTATATGAAGACCCTTAAAAAATTTTTTGCTTTTACTTCAGAACTGGGAGTAGCTGTGGTATTCCTGAAAAACAAATTGGGTTTTATCATATGTACTCAAGGAATCATGTACTGACCATCTATCCTTTGATACCAAAATCACCCAATTTTTTTGTCCACCTCTAGCAAGCACTGAATCTTAAAGCACTGTCAGGCATGTTTCTTACTGCTTTTCCTAATTGCCAACTCATGTAATCCTCACAATAACACTGTACATGTGTTAACTAATGACCCCAGTGCAGTAGGCATATCTTTTTCAGATGAGGAAATCTAGGGAAAACTGTAGTGGAGTAACTTGCCTAAGGTCACAGATGCAGTAAGTGGAAGAGCTGGGATTAGTCCCAGGCAGTCTGGATCCTTGGTCCAAGCTCCTTACTTGTGCTTTACTGTCTCCAAACATTTATATTAACCTCACTTTTTAGCTTAGCTTTTTATTTTTTAGCTTATTTTTCCTAATATTTTTCCTTCAACCCAATTTCCACTTCTAAAAAGAAAACTATCTGGTGTGTATTTTATTTTTGTAAGTCACTCCGAATTCACGTAGGAAACATGTAGATAGATATTTGAGAAAATATGCATTCTACTGTCTAATTGGTTCCCACGGCACTTTATATGTATTGTTCAAAAAGTGTCGATTTTAGCCTATGAAAAACAGTGCTGGATGCATAGAGGAATCAAACTCCAGGTCTGGAACTCCTTGAAGTCTTAATGACACACACACGTTGGAAACCAAGCACAAACTTAAATATTACGTTTTTAAGGTTCAGTGTATGTTTGGAATGCTCAGCTCAAGAGGGTTTGAAATTTAGAAGACAGTGAGGTGAGCGAGGTGAGAGAGATCGCTGAGAATTGGATGACAGTGAGATGCTGGGGAAGCATCAGGCCAGGCGTGGGATTCGGGTCAAGATTTCACGGTTTCCAGTGATGACAGCCTCAGAGTGCCCTTTCCAAAAGCTGCCAGGCTGGAAACCCGAGCCCAGTCATTCACCCGAAGAAAACCCCATTTCTCTTTACTTTTCACATCACCTCTGCTTGGAAGCCACAGGGAGGCCCAGACCACCCCTCCCAATACACCACCGCCGAGGGCTTTCCCAGAACCGACCCCCAGCCTGCACGACCGTGATCGTCGGCACCGCGGCCGCCCTGGGTCCCCCAGACCCACCTGCGGCCCCGGTGCCAAGAACGACCCCACGACCAAGGGCAACGGCAAGCTCAGCCACCCGCGCCGGCGGAAGCTGCGACCTCGGGAGCCGCCATTCGCCGCGCCCGCAAGGAGGAGAGGGGTGGCGCCGGTACATCACACCTCTTCTTCCTCCTACTGTTTGACGTTTCTCATACCTTTCCTGTAGCTTTCAAACATTACCAATAATTTCTGTATAAAATTTCCGTCCAACGTAACAAGACTTGTTGGCGCAAGCTCCGTCGCCTTGCTCTGGCTCCGTCCCGCCCCCCCAAGATGGTATCGCCCAGGGCCTCCCCCGCCCCCGCGCTCCGCCTCCGACTTCAAAATGGCGGCCGCCACTGGGCGGCTTTTCCTGGCCGGTCGTCACGGGTGCCGTTGAACTAACGTCAGCTTGTCTCTCTCTTGAACCTGGATCCGACTAGGGGTTGGGAAGGGCAGTGGACGGCGCTGGGGGAGGCCTGACGAGGCAAGTGAGGGCGGGAGAAAGCAGTGGGACTTTGGATGGGGGAGGGAGCGTCCTCGGCCTTCCGGGGCAGCTGGGCTCCAACCCCGACCCGCTCTTTCCTGAGGACGTGTTCCCGTCGTGGCGGTTGTGACGGTGCTGGTCGTTCCTGGCAGGAGTGCTCAGCAAGTGATGCTTCCATGGGTGTTAAGCTCCCAGCTCTTCTGCGGCCGTCCGTGGGGCCCTGCCCCACGCTCTCCCTCCCTCCTTCCTGCTGTTTGCCTCCGGCCTTTCGGTCTCGGCGTTGCAGGAGTTAATCCCACGCCGGCTTTGGCTCCTTGGCCTCGTGGCTGCGGCGTTCTCAGCCTGCCTGCCCGGGGTCTTCCCGTTTTCTTGGAGTGAAGGACCCACGAGGCTACTGGGCACAAACTAGGCGACCTTTTGGTTAGTGACCCCAAAGACCTTTCAGGTGTTTGTACCACGCTTTGTTAACACTGTCTCGGCCTCTGTGCCCTCCCTCCATCTCCCTCGAGCGCTTCCACTATCGCTGCAGTTTCCCAAGTCCTCATTCTTTTTGACTTTGTACTACTGTACATGCTCTTGAGAAAACCAGCTCAAACTCTGGCGAGGCTGGCCTCCTGTGACCAGGCGAACCTGAGCTGTCATTTATGTTCATACCTTAGTTTTTGGTTTTACAACCCCTTTGAGCGAGTTATGAGACCGCTGCTCTCCCGGAATCGGTCAGGAAGAGACCCCACTCAGTGAACTCCCGGGCTAACCCATACTCCTTCCTTTTGTTTTGGATTGTGCATAGTTCCCCTTAGGTGTTATCAACATGCATGATCATTATTGAGAGAGCAATAGTGATAGATTTGTGAGATGAAATAGCGTAGGAAAAAAAATCACTGCCCTGAAAGAATTTATATCATGAGGATTCATTCCTTCATATTTATGTTGCTTTGAGCACTGTGCTTGGTATTGGAGATGATCACTTTTACTCTTCCTTTCTACATTCAGCATCGATTCAACAAATATGCTTTGTGCCAGGTAAAAAATAACTTTGCCTGGGAAACACGAAAAAACGTTATAGAGGAATAAATATTTGAATTGGGTCATGAAAAATCAAAAGAAATTTGCTAGACTCAAAAGGAGATCATTCCTGGATGCAATCCAGCGTATACTTAGGGGGAGTGGGAAAATAAATGTGCTTAAGCATTTGGTGCAAGGCTGATTGGTGAAGCAAGAGGTAGGTTGTGATCAGCATGTGAAGGATTTTGATTTCCAGCTAAGGACTTTAGATTTTATTTAGCTAGCAGGAAACTAGTGGATACTTCATGCAAAGAGGAGGCATGAGGATATTTGTTTTTTAGGATGATATCTCTGACAACTGTATGGAGGACGAACTGAGAACAGGAAAACTAGAGGAGAGGAAATTGGAAATTTTTCAGGTAAGGCAATGAGTGCCTTTATTGAGGGAGGGTAGTATAGGGTGTCAGAGACATTAAATGTCAAATAGGATTCAAACGGTAGCCACCAATTTGATGGTAAGAGATTAACTCTTTTTAGTCTGGGAGACTAAATGGTTGGTAATACCATTAAAATTCTCTCTGAGAAATGTACATAAAAATAGAATGGTGCCACCCTGCACTTTAGGAGTGGCAGAACACAATGCTTTACAGTCTAAAGCATTGATTTTAGAGTTTAGAGTCCAGAACTGTGCTATTACAGTAGCCACTAGCCACGTGTAGCTACTGAGCACTTGAAATGTGGTTAGTTTGAATTGAGATGTGTTGTAAAATATACACTGGATTTTGAAGACTGAATTTTGGATTATGAGAAACAATGTAAAACATCTCAATTTTTAGTAATGATTACAGGTTGAAATGATTTTGGATTTGTTGGATTAAATAAAATATATTAAAATTTCACTTGTTTCCGGGCCGGCCCGTGGCTCACTCGGTAGAGTGCGGTGCTAATAACACCAAGGCCACGGGTTCGGATCCCATATAGGGATGGCCGGTTAGCTCACTGGGTGAGCGTGGTGCTGACAACACCAAGTCAAGGGTTAAGATCCCCTTACCGGTCATCTTTTTAAAAAAAAAAAAAAAAATTTCACTTGTTTCCTTTTACTTTTTAGTGTGGTTATGAAAAAGTGTAAAATTAAATATTTGGCATGCATTATATTTCTGTTGACGGCTGTTGTAGTCTAGAGTAATGATGGGGGAATTA